GTAAATTGATACGTTGTAAAATTTCTGGCAAGATCTTAAGGATCAATCGATGAAAAGTACAATTATTCTTTTACGAGCACAAGAAGAGCTTGGATCTTAAATTTCGTACGGGATTAGACGATGAACGGATCAGGTGGTGAGCGTCGTATCTGCGCCGCCATTACCCCGGTTATTCTCCCGCATCGAGAGATATATATCTCGCGGGGCGAAGTTCTGCCGGAACATCAAAAATTGGTGTGTTCCCTCGGGGTGGGAGCTAAATCATTTAAATTTCTGCGCAAACGACCGCGCGCATGGCACATGCGGGCGGGACCTACGCTTTTCTGGCGGAGCAAAGTTTAAAAAATGACAGAGGGGGCGGGGGCGCAGAGAGAAAGAGAGAAGAGGGGAAAAAAGAAGCGCGAGGAAAGGGTATTATCCGCTAGCGAATCGCCGGAAAGTTTCGCGTCGAGGGTGATCTCGCCCGGAACTATCCTCAAACTATCGTCAAACTATCGTTGCTACTGACCTTGTTTTCGGGCCGCGCCGAGTGTACGACGTGCCGAAAATCTTGCGGAAGCTCGCCTCGTGAATGTGTGCATTCGACAAAGGAATCTCCATTTTAATAGTTCTGTTTGCCTTAGATGTTACTACGGCGAAGCGTCGGCACTTCGTTTTACCCGATCTGCTTCATTGAGCGAACGCGATTGTGTGAGCATTGTAACCAGAAATCCCAGCAAAAATGATCCTTAAAAATACAATATAATTATGTTTTGTGTAATTATAATTGTATTCTCCAATGATTATATTCAGTAATCGTTTTTCATGGGATTTGAATGTTAAAAAATATAATGATGCATCATATAGCATTGTATTAATCAGATATCTCCAGCTCTAGCATTCGGGAAATTCCCAATTCTATTGACGTTATTTGAGTTTCTAATGAAAGTGAGAATTCCGCCGTTTTTAATATTCGTAGGAATGTATATGTATAATATAATACTTGTGGTTTCCGTCCTTTATGTTACGCTTTGGAGTATTACGATGATCGGCAAGTTCATGAAATTTAAAATTCTCGTTAACTAAGCTGGGAAATGTTTGCACACGCGATATCGAGAATGTCCTCGAAGAGGATTTACATTTTTATTTCCCGATACTACAAGCTCGTTTTTGTTGATGGGGATTACCGCCGATCAACGATAGCACGTGTAGCGAAAATTAACAAAAAATTGCGCGTCGACAACGCTTCCGGGGATTTCGCGTCTTCTCATTTTTGTTTAGTTTTGATTCTGCGCGTTTACGATTGTACGTGAATATTTTGTAAATATTTAATTGACTCGGTTATTTTAAAAACGGCGCAAGTTAAAATTTTAAATACGTTATGAATTTCAATGAAACGCAGGCATAATCTACACGGGGAAGCGCGGAATTTAGCAGGATTAAAAAAAACTGTTCTAATCTTGTTATTTTTAAAAAAATAAATAACGGATAATATATACGTAATTGTCTGATAAATAAAATAAAGTGAAAATACAATAAAATGTCATTTTGAGTGAAACGTTTTCGCATATATTTAACAAAATCTGCCAAACTGAATTTGTGGTATTTTAAAACTAAATGACTCCATTTGATCGTGTCTAGGTATAAAAATTGTTTGTCGTATTGGAATTTATTTTACTATTCGCGACGATTGACCCCTCGCGCGCGCGCGCGCGTGTGTGTGTGTGTGTGTGTGTTATTTTTCGCAAATAGTATCCTATGTGATGTTCCGGCTCATGGACGAGAGGAGAGGCCGGTGAATCGGGAACGTCATTTGTAGAATATTGGAGTACAATCTGGTGGATTGCATTCTTCGAAACATTCGATCCTCAATGGCGAAGAGACCAGAAATACGAAAGTGAGAGAGAATCGAAGACCAGTGGAGATCTCGGAAGAAGATAACGTACCGTGACACGAAATAGGCTCTGAATCCGCTCATGTTTCTACCGATATCGCATTTGATATTGGAAATATTTTCTTTGTCGAGGGAGGAGAGAAAGATACAAAGATATTATTGTAATATTAATTACTGAATGAGTGTTGCGCCTGTGTAAAATATTTCCTAATAATGTAGTAGAGAAATTCCTTTACTTTGATTGCCGTCACTTAAAGATTACTGTCTCTGATAAGCTTCCGATATATGTTTTTAGACTTGACATTAGACAATTTTCACGTTGCACTTGGTAATTTCATAGAGCTCTTGCTTTCGCGAATTTTTGTAAATACCTCGAAAATAGAGTGAATGTGCAATATGCGTGTTTGACGTTTATGCTGCAAACAAATAGATAAATCAAAAGCGCTTTACTACAGTAAAACATAATTCCGCGCGAAATACGCAGGAAATATTCAGGCGTTATCGCGTCGATACGTTATTCAGCGTCTTTCGGCTCTCTCTCTCTCTCTCTCTCTCTCCCCCCCCCCTCTCTCTCTCACTCGTTCACTCACTACTCTCTATCTCGTTTCCAATGGATAATGCCGACAGGAGAATCCACATCAGGATATCGAGGATTCTGGAGAAAATGACGTATCCTCAGATTCAGCGAACAAGCTCCCTGTCTCTCTATCGACAAAAGGATGCGGCAAATGCACTGTGCACCGCGATCGATTCTGTCGAGGATGTTCGTGCGCGTAATCGTCGTTGATAGAAGCTACCGTAATTATACAGCGGTGATTGAATTTTACATCACGCGCACGGATTAATCCACAATGGGATACGTCTCGAAAAATACAGACTAGCTTCTACTTAAACTCTTTATAAATTGAGCCGATGAGTGTCGTCGCGTATTAAATACATGTAAGAGCACTTTTAAATACCGCCCTTGTTTTTAGAGATATCCGTTGAAATATAAATCATCACATGTCTACGGGCTCTAATTGAGTCTTTATTTTAATCTCGTAATTGTACAGCTGTCTGCAAATTTAATTAAAATTCTCAACACTCGTGCCCGAGTTACAAGTAGTAAGGACCTTGTTATAATCAGACGAGATGTAAGTATTACCGAACTACGGACAGCCGGGAAATGAGTAGAAATAACCAAAGTATGATCAGACCAAACGGGACAATGAAATTAATATTGGTTACGAACGTGTTGGAAGTTTTCTCGCGCGTGTTCTTGCATTCTGTTTAATGTACAATTTAATACAATATTACGAAAACTGTTATCGCATTATCACCCTTTTTCACGCGCTCGCTATTATCGACTTGACCGCGCGTAATGCGGCACTATCGGCGCCATATGAAAGTCCATTCAACGAACTGCAGTCTCACTTCTCTTTAATGAATTCTACATAGAGATATCGCAGTGTTGACAGCCTGTTGCGGGAAAATGATGAATTCATGGTTCATTTACAGCAACGCGAGTTCCATTTAATTCAATCTAATGCAATCTCAAGTCATGGTTTTAATTATAAATCAATATAATGCATTTATGCTGCGATATCTTGGAATAACCGATATCACTCTACGGAGCAAAGATAAGAAGAAGAAATTATCATATCGACAAAAATCTGGGTCTAAAACTCTACTGCAAAATATTTCAAGAAGACTGTCTCTTTCAATCAATCCCCCCCCCCCCCCCGATTAAATTGAACGTTGGGTGGCATGAACAATGAACATATAACACCCTAACCCTATTCTGATAGATACAGTGGGCCGTGCTATGACTCGAGAGGCTCGAGCACTTTCCTCGTCGTGCCGTCTCGGCGCACCCTATTTGTTCGACTTTAATATTCAATATCTGAATTATTATTGCAAATATTGCAATACGGTATAGGACTTTTTGTCCACTTCAATACGTTCTATCTCCCCAAGATAATATTGACAGAAAACTACAGGACACCCTGTAGATCTAGGATGTTCTTTTCGTGCTAATCGCTTCATTTCATTTCAAGTTTGTGAGGGCGTTTTTGGTACATCGACATAATCCTTTTCAACGACGCGTAACCGATCCAACTTGGTTATATCCGACGCGACTGTCATCAATATAATACGAAAGACTATTTATTGAGCTCCTCTCGGTAGCCTCGCCTTCCTTTTACCGATCCCGCGAGGAGGGTGGCCCTTCCGACGGGGCTGACAGCTCGCACCGGGGGAGCTCGCGGGGAAAGATGATGTAGTATCGCGGCGATGGTGCCGGCGGCGGCGGGATGAACTCGCGCCTCATTTGTACCGGCGCAAGAACGCGGTCTGGAATACGCTGCCCGGCACGTTTTGCCGGCCGGCCGACCGACCGGCCGGCCAGCCAGCCAGCCAGCCAGCCCCCAGGAAGATGAATTACATCGGGACGTGATGGTGCCGTCTGCTCACGGTCGCGTCGCCGATCGGAATAGCGGAAACTTGTGTACGGATCCCGACACGTCGGTAGCTTCGCCCGGCTCTCTCCCCCGCGCGCTCGTCTTATCGAAGGCTCGCGTGCTCTCGAGCTTTTCGTGTCCCGATACCGGAGCCGGGGGTACGAAAGGGGTGCGGAGGGGACGGGGGGAGGGGGGGAGAAGATTGATTGCGTCGAATCCCGCGTACAGTCGGCGAAAGAAACCGACGCGGCGGACGGTGCCTGAGTTTCCGCGTGGCGTTTTAAGGAATCTCGCCTGCGTCGCGGAACGACGGAGGGAATGCTTCAGAGACGCGCGAAGGGACGAAACGCTTCGCCAGGTCGGCGACGGGGTATATCACTTGTTCCGCTCGCGGTGGCGTCGAGCGAGAGACTTCTGCGAGAACGCTCTGACGTTCGACGGAGAAAAAGGAAGAATCGAATCAAGGTTAATCTTTCGCGGCCAATATTAATGTTCCTCGCTGTACTCTCCACCCTGTTGTCGATTTATCACATATTCTCACTGGATTCTCTTTTAAAAAATCTCTACGCAATAAATATAACAAAGCGTACAGGGATAGTTTAATTCTATCCCCACGTTAGATTGCGCCAGAGTAAATATTAATTGACGGTACGACTTGAAGAGTTTCAACAAACAGATTGAGAACGCACCTCGACTTTCACTCCGGGCCGAGGGAATATCAGGGTCTTTTGGGCGCCGTCCGGCAGATATCGGAAGAACTCGTGATCGTCCTTGTACCATTTAACGGAGTAGAGGCTCCCACCCAGTAAATGCCATTCGCATCTCAGCTCGATCGTGGTGCCCACCTCGGCCTCTTTTGGCATCTGGAACTCCACCATGATATTGCTGCCCGCTGAAACACAAACACGTCCACTTATAGCATCCATAAATGACGCGAAAATCGGTAGAAAAGCTTAGAGAATTAATTTAATTAGACGCTAAATTTAATTTGACGTCACGGTGTACATTACATATAACATATACATAGAAGATATTACGAAGATTTTACGCTGTAGCATTGTGAAACAAGTGAGCAGTAATGGAGCCTCACTGATTTCTTGTTTCCAGAATCTCCCTTCTTTCGATTAGCGATCTTCTCAGCGACATCACGTCTTTTTCTAATGTACGGATTAGGTAATTGAGAACGACGAGTCGTGCTCGTTATAATTCTTGATCGCGAATAGAGCAGTCGATCTCGCGTGGCGCGCAGTTGGCGCCAATTTCGGGATTTTCATTTCGCTAATCCACAGACGCGCACGAGAGGTGACGTTCGGAATCCGCAGTCGCTTCGCAATTACCGCCCGCGTCTGTCAGCCGAGGGCAGGCACGGTGAAAGGGTGGCGTGTGTTAAGCCCGAGAATAAATACGCGGTTACCGGAAGGGTTAGACGCGAGGTAAACGCCGCTGTGAGTTTCCTACGCGATCCGGAAGTTTCCTCCGAAACTCGAAACGAATGGACTTAGCTGTGCATAGATAGATAGTGAAACTCGCGTAGCTATTGCAGTATTGCAGAATAATGTTTCCCCGACCGAATTACAATTTTCAAGTCTAATCGGAAGGTGAAGAAAACGTAATAACTGCAGACAGTTTACCACAGACTTTTATACGGGGTGTCCCAGGAGGACAGGTCAATATTCTTGGAGGTGATAGTATCGGTTATTTTAAGCAAAAGTGTTCATATGAATACATGTCCCATTCCCCACTGTTTCCTCAGGAAGCCTCCTCCGATTAATTTCTAAATCGCGTTGTTCGGGAGGACGTCGCATATTCGAATGATCGCAGTCTCATTTCACTCGTGTAACAATCGCACAATGACATCGTTACTAATAATCGTTATCGACAATTTGGTCAAAGTCGCTCGTGAATTACATCGAGCCGCGTTAAGATAGTACGGCGAATTTATTCAACCGTACGGAAACGTCAATCGTACGCGGTGAGCAAATTTACTCCACGCTGGACCGCCAACGACTGCGTGTACGTACATTAATTCTGGCGGATGGCTCATAACACGGCAGGTACCGGGTTAATTTGGAAGGCCAAGCGGGTAGTCGAGCCCCGCGCATGGGAGAGCGAGGCGACGATCACGTGGCGCGTTGGGTTTAAGTGCGGCGGCCGTTGTCGTTAAAGGTCCATCGAGCGGAATGCTGAGAGACCTCGCTTGCTCTCCGCACGGCATTTGCTCCTCCGGCCAGCATCCACAATTTACAGTCGCGCGTGTTAAGATTTAATGACGCGAGAATTTCGGCCTGCGGATTAAGGTCTCAAAGAGTGGGCCAGCTCTCGTAAACCTCTCGCGTTCTATAATCACGTGTTCGCGAGACTCGGACGCGATAGAGAATGAATCCTATGTATCTCGACTGGGAAAATGTGCGAGACTTTTTCTCAACGCTCCGTCGAAAAGCAACATATATGCACAGTACCGGCCAAAATTATATCACCTTTTGATTTTTGTGCATAACTAGTTTTTAAGTGCACGAATGAAAAATTTGAAAATCATGGTGTCGTTTGTCAAATTTCGTTACCTTCCGTGTACAAGATGCATCTGTTATCAGGAAGCCTATTGTAAAATTTTTAACTCGATCTAAACAACTAAATTTTTAACTCGATCCTTTAAGATATAAATCAATTACAAGTGTAAACGTCATTTAGGACCTGGCGCAGCTGAAGGTAGCCACTTAAAAATACGGTATATAGATTCACAAAGTAATTTAAGTGGTTACCTCCAGCTGTGCCAGGACCTTTCGGCGTTTACACTTGTAATTGACTTTCCCCTAATTTTGGTCGGTACTGTATAGAATTATTAGTTAATTGCGATTAATTAATTCGTTTATTTTCACTGAGAAGGCTTTGAACGTTATAAATTATTACTTCTCACCAGGACCACAAGGATTTTAGTAGGGGACAGCCCATCTCCGGTTTCGATATGAGTGATGTACATGTATACGGATTCGCAATATACGGAACAGTATACTGACGTTCGACGGGACTGACCTAACTGTTGGCGTCAGTCGCAGCTGCCGCCGATGGCGCGGTTTGCGTTGCGCGGCGCGTTTTCGAACGCGCCTCCCCCGCGTCTCGCCGCTTTCTGTCTGTCCCTCTCGATATCTCTCATCCGCGCGTCGTCAATTTCCGTCGTTACAACGACCGAGTCGTTAACTTGCCAATGGAGTTTGACGTCTCATAGTTGAGACTGCATCGCGAACGTTTCCGTGCCATTTATCAACGGCACCTGGCGTATTGAAAACTGTTTCGCTGCAGCGGGACGGGCGAGAAGGAAGGCGCCAAAAGTGCACGGCGCCCATCGATTTTACTCGTGATACGTTTCGATCGACGAGAATTTTAATCGCGCACAATGCGCGCGCGATCGTTTCGTCACTGCGGACTTCGCAGGTGATGTATAACAATATATATTTCACGCGATGAGATAATCTGAGTGATAATCACTGATCCTACATCGATCTCTTTCGAGGCAAAGTTTCATTCCGTTTCTCAACCTAATTTTTAGGAAGGCTTATTCACTGGGAAACGTTTACTTGATTATTAGTGCCAATTATTAGGGAACATAGAATAAAATAATACTTACAACTTATTACACCCAGAAAAACATTTCTTTGAAAATTGACCAAAATTTTATCTGATTAAGACTGAAATCTCTAAGAGAATTCATATTTACTTCTTTAAATCTAGTACATGTTTTTGTGGAAGTAAAGAAAAATTTAGTAGATTAAAAAGACACGATTTTAATGTATCTCATTTGTTTGACTTAAATAAATATAATTATAGCACTCGTATAGTCGGCCCTTCTCCCC